TACATTTCATTGTTTCAATTCTATAATAGAAATTGTATATTTTCAGATTTTATCTTTTAAGTATGTTTTTCTATATCACATTTAAAAAATGAATTCTTGATTTGCGTTTTACAGATTACATTGCATACATTGCATTTGTATTGGTCTGCATGAAGATTAGCAACAATACTTTTATTTTTAAGAGACTTTGATCTCTAAAACATGTAACACATTAAACTGAAAAATAAATGTCAAAATATTAACATTTTAAAATGTAAATTCTGTAAAAGAAATTAAAAATACATTTAAAAAAATTCAACTATAATTCAAATATGAAAACAAAAAATCAAATTTTAATAAAATATATAATCATATATATATATATATATATATATATATATATATATATATATATATATATTATAACAAGTAAGCCTGATGGAGCTCCTTAACTACATTTTTTTTAGAAAAACTTTTGAGTCTGGAACATTTTGTTTTGAAGAATATTTTTTTTATTTAAAAAATTTCTAAATCACTATTTTATTTTAATAAATGATAATTCAGTACATTTTTTATTTATTATTACTTTTTTTCTATTCTATGTTATCTGAAATACTAGTCTGAATTCATCATTCAACTGTCAAGCGTAGCTGTTTGTTAGGAAAGAATAAAGAACTTCCACTGTTTGCTCTGTTTACCTTTATTGCTATAGTTACTCATAGTGGGTAGAACAACCAGAATTTTTACTCAAGTAAGAGTAGTGATACTATCGCAAGAATATTACTTAAGTAAACGTGTAAGGTACAGTAACCTGCAACTACTCCTAAAAGCACTTAAAAAAAAACTTGTTCAAATTTATGTAATTAACCAAACATAACAAGTTACTTCCCAACTCTGTTTTTTTCTGGTGAGTATAAGTAAAATTTAGATTTTAGTCCTCTCAGTCCTAGTGTCTCTTATTCTGAGTCTGATTTCTTCTTTTTTCATCATATATATCTTTTTAGAGCTCTCACTCTGTCTCTTTCTCAGTGTGAAAGATCACAGTCTTGTTCTCTCTCATCGATTTGCCTTTATTTCACATAGGAGCGCACTTCAGCAGGCATCAGCACAGCCATGCTACCTCCTGCCGACACTTTCACCTGGGCGCACCCCAGGCTCCCATCTCAGCAGAGTTCCCTCTCGGACACGCCGGCCAGACCCCGCAGGCGGGCCTGGCTGCCCACCTACCCACCGCACACCACCCGACACTCACTGCCCTACCTGCACCGCCTCAGTTTCAGGACGTGTCAGGGCCTTCATTCCTACCTCAGGCCTTACACCAGCAATACCTCATCCAGCAGCAGCTCTTTGAAGCGCAGCACCGCAGGATCCTTCCCCACTCATCCAGGTACTGATGGTATAGCATGCAAATTCACATGCAAATACTTAGAAATTCAATTAAAGTAAAAACGCCTTTTAATCTAATTTCAGAAGAACCCAGGAGCGTATTCCTTTGAATTCTCATCGGTTGCGTTCAGGTTATGAATACTCCCCTCCCATCCATGTTCCTCAGCCAATAACACAGCAGCAACGATACCTGGCTGAAGGCACCGACTGGTGAGTCCTCATCTGGGATTAACTAGAATCCTACTGAGTTGAGAAATTATTCTATATTTTCCTCTCTGTGCCCATCTGTCTGTCTGTCTGTCTTGTAAGAGTAATAATGCTGATTTAGTCCCACTCATCTGTTCCTCTCTCTCTTCAGGGATCTCAGTGTAGATGCTGCTCTCCCTCCTCAGTACCAACTCCAGCAGCTTCCGCAGCACTATCAGCATTACCTGACCTCCCCTCGAATGCACCACTTCCCCAGGAACACATCATCTGCCCAAGTGGTACTGTTGGTTTCTCTGTTATTCTCTTTTTTTATCTGGTTGATGAGTATTAAGAATGTAAAACAAGGATTCAAATCTAAAAACACAACAACAACTGACCATGGCTGATGATAGGTAATGCAAAAAAAAAAAAACTTACAGGATTTGATGCCCTCTTCCTTTAAAACGTGTTGTCAGATCATCATAAAATGCAATGACTTTAGCTGTAGCTGCTTTTGTTGCACTAGTTGTCCAGAACAGCTTGTGTAAGCAGAGTAGAAGTAAAATATCCATGACAAAAATATAATAAGCAAAGGCAAAAATAGGAGCACAAGACCAGCAATACCAACCATATAACAATACCATGGAAAAGATCCAGGATGGATGTAGGTTATTTTGTTCCTTTGCAATCTCATACAATTGTTATTTAGTTTTTTATTTTTCCAATAACAACTTCTTCAGGTATGAAACAGAAGCTTCTTCTATAAGTCATCTATATTTCTACCTGCCTGGGAGTCCTTGTTTAGGCACTTCACCTACCAATGATTTAACATCTTTTTCTTAAAGGAAAACCACCATCTTGTTCTTTTGTGTTTGGCTGTAATAATTAAATGCTTTTGTCTCATTTTTTTAACATTTCATTGAAAGAAGAACTGAGATCATTGTTTTCATTTTTAGTTCTACTACTTGCTCTCTTTCCTTGAACGTTGGTGCTCTTAAACGTTGTCTAAAGTAGTCTTTTGTAAATCTGGGAATGATTTTAGATGATTTTAGAGTCTGACTTAAATTTTGATCCTCAGATTAATTCTGCTCTAAGTAAAGGTTTTCTTTCACTTAAGACATACAACTAAGCATCACGTAGTGCTAACCGGACATGACTTAAAGGAATAGTACACCCAAAACATGATTAGCCTTCATTTTCTACTCACCCCCATGCTGAACAACACTCTGGAGTACTTTTTTGATATCTCAA